CTCTGAGCCTGACCAGGCGCGGCACCTAGGGATTAGGCCTGCCCTCTGCCACCCGGGAGCAGGCCTAAGCCAGTAGGTCGTTATCTCCCGATGGGTCCCAGACTGCGAGAGGGCACAGGCCGGGCTGAGGGACCCCCCCCAACCCTCCCGAGTGCACAAATTTTTGTGCACCGGGCCTCTAGTTCTATATAATAAAAGCCTAATATGCTGAGTGTCCGGTTGTCCAGTCGGCCATTCAACCAATCAAAGCATAATATGCTAATGACATGGTAAGGCCACTCAATTGCTTGCTATGGCGTGCACTCACCATCAGGGGGCAGACAGTCGACCGGCCGACCAGTTGCTATGTGCACTGATCACCGGGGCCAGACACTCTGACCAGTAGGTTAGCTTGCTGCTGGGTTCCAGCTGATCAGGACTGAGTGAGATTAGCCAGACATGCCCTGGGCCCTCCTGCAGTCCCTCCCCGGCTGGCCAACCTCCCGCATCCCTCCCCAGCCTCAATTGTGCACTGGTGGGGTCCCTCGGCCTGGCCTGTGCTCTCTTGCAAGCCGGGCTGCGTGACCACCACCATCCCTGAAGTGCACGATTTTCGTGTACCAGGCCTCTAGTATATGATAAAAGGGATATAAAATAAGTTAAAAGACAGCTTTTAAAAAACACAACAGAATGATATAAATTGAAAAATCTTAAAATAGACCACATTCAGAAAAAATATGAACTACCTATATTAGCTCAAGAAGTATGCCAAGCAGAAAAGAAGTATGCCAAAAGATGCTGAAAATTTCATCAAAGAATTACCTGAAAAAAGGCCTAGAACCAGATAACATAATTAGTACATTCTTTCAAACTTTCCCCAAGGGGCAACCTCAGAAAGTATAACAAACAGTACCAGGACTTGGAAAATGATGGAATACCCCGTTCATTGGGAAGCAAGGCTGTCTATAGTACACAACCCTGCACAAAACCAAAGTATAGGCAGACATTTTTCTCAAAGCTTTGTTACTCCAGGATTTCTTAGTGCCTCTAATCTGCTGTGAAATTCCAAAAGGAGGGTTGTGGGAGGGAGTGTGGTTCCAGCACTTTAAGATTTCTTCCCCCCAGACTCTTCTTATGACCACACAGAAGCTACACAGGAGCCTTGAGTCAGGCAATCAGAAGATTAAGATGACCCAAGAGCAGGAAGAGATTAACTAAAGAACTTATATGCATATATGCATAACCCATGCACAGACCCCCCCATGAACACAGACCACAGTGTGAAGGCCTAGGAGGAGGGAGGTCAATGGGGGGAAAAGGGGATATCTGTAATACTTTCAAAAATAAAGACAAATTTTAAAAAGAACTGCTAGAATAGTAAATGGTAACAAAACACACAGACTCATTAATAAGATGGCAATTAGGTCTTCTGGGAGAATTCATTTCCAAAAGAATGCTAAAGCAAGCTATAAAATGCAAGTAAAATTGTGTTTTGACATGAATAGTGTATATAGTCTATGATGTCATAATTTTTCTCTTCAGAGAACTGACACGGATCTCTGTTCTTAAATATGAACACAAAACATAGCAAAAAGAACACCGGTGACAGAGAATGGATTCTACCTAATTCCCATTCACTATACTTGACTATGCTATCAATGAGTTCCTTATTACAAAGACACTTAAATTATCCTTAGAAGTAAAAGAAAAATATAAAACAAGAAACTGATGCTACTAGTAATGTCAGAGGGAATACTATTTCCTGTATCAACAGATCAGTATGTATACTAATGATTATTTTATATCATGTTTGGTTCCTCAGATATGTTTGCCTTTAAATATTCTTATCCAACAGGTTTGTGACCAAAACTATTTAGCCTTATTTTTATTCTCTTTTAAAAATATTTCTTTCCAAAAAAGAATATACAGAAGACTACATAGAGGAAAAGAAATTCACAAGAGATAAATATAGGAAAAGGAAAATATATTGCCATATATAAAATTGCAATAATAAAACAATGCTGAGGCACAAAATACCTTCTGCTGGTGAGAATGTAATTTGATTCAACTCTTCTAGGAAGCAACTGGCCTTATGTATTTAGAACCTAAAGTAGACTTATTCTTGGACCTACCAATCCAACATCTATCAGTCCATCTGGTGAATTAATTTTTAATATTAAAATTTACATACATCAATGTACTTAATACAATTATTCATAGCAAACAAAGCAACACAAAACAGGAAATGATCTAAATGTCTAAAACTGGAAACAAGTCAATGGATTATGGCACATTCATATGATGAATTAAGCAACAATGAAAAACAATGCTTTGGGAAAAATTTAATAATATAAATGTGTCTGATTGTTTAGGAAAAAAGAAAGAACACAAAATACAA